CTAGAACACTCCGAAAGGCATTAATCTATTCAAAACCCATTTAGGATCTAAAGCATGATGCGAGGTGAAGGTGTTTGCGAAGCAGTCTAGCTATCGGGCCATGCTTAGGAAACAATCTCAGTTCCACGGGCGAGGATTTGCTTGCTTTTGGGAGCGACTGCAACGTGGAGTCAGGAACCGGGCTAGGAACGGCTGCAGATCCAAATCAAGCCACAAAGCAGCAGGAAACCACTCAGCAATACCATCAGTGATTTGTGCATTTCTTGGTCGAAAACAAAGAGCGGAGAAGGTCGGCGTTACCGCCTCCCCAGCTCCGCGCAGCCTCCCCTCTTTTGTCCACCCCAAACGGCAAAAAAAATCCCCTTCCTACAGCTCTCAGCCCCGAGCTCCTTCCAAAACCTTTTCTCCTTATCTTTAGGCACAGCTGACCCATTCTTCTCATGCCTCCCTGTTGACAAAGAGTAGGAAAGTCACCAAAGGAGGCGCCCAGCTTGTGCCCTGCTGCAGAACAGCCTTTCCCCAGCTCCGCACCCCAGGGTCGCTGCGCTCGGTCGGCCGCTCAACCTCGCACCTCTTCGGCCTCCAGATTTTTGGTGGGGGAAGCACAAAAGGACAAAGCAAAAAAAACAAAACAAAGGGGCATATTGCAGGGGTTCTCCTCCTGTCTTCTGCTTCTGAACCAGGCCTTCTTGATTTTTATACATCCCCTGACCCTGGAAGCATTCAGAATCCAGGGTCACCCGAGGACTTTGAGGCGGTCACCGTGCCGCGCATCGGCACCGCGGGGAATTCGACAGCAGCGCCGAGACACGGTTCAGATCCCGCACTTAGAAAGAGCTGGCCACCATTGCTGGGGCCAAAAAGGGATTTCTCACTTCTTATTCTGCAGGCTGAGCTCCAGCACATGGAGCTGAACCGCTCCGATCCCGTCCGTAACAAGCAGCAGTGACTCAAAGCGCCTTACTCATTATCACTCTTTTGGAATTAGTGCCTTAGTTAATGCTCCCTGCGCTAACATTTAAAAAAAAATGATTTTTCTGTTCTTCTGGCTTCTGCCCTCTTCCCTCACTTGGCATGGTTCTTGTTGTAGCTCCAGGAAGGAACAATGTCCCTGGGCTGTGTCTAACCTCCCACCTAACGCAAACCGTGACAGCAGCAGCGGCAACCCATGACCTCCTCCACCCATTTTCATGGTATCAGAAAAAGTGCCCTTTTTTTTTTTGTGTGCCCTGCCCATGGCTGGTGGCATCCTGGGGACACTGAGGGCTTGGCCGCGTGCCCCAGCAGGTCCGTGCGCCGTCACCCAAGGGTGCTGCCCGGGTGCTCTTGTAGCCCTCCTGCATCGATTTTGGCCTCGAGGCTTGGAGACGGGGAGGTGGCTGAGCTCAACACTTCCACAAACAGGGCTGCTCGCCAAAAGGGACAAGGCACAACTCCGTGGCTGAGCTGCACTTGATGAAAATGTCTGCTCTTTCACAAAAAAAAAAAAAAAGTAAAAAAATAAATAAATTTAAAAAACCCCTCTCCCTGCAGCCAGCAGCCAGCGATGCATACTAGATGACTGCCTTCTCAACATGAGAGCAAAAGGGCAAATGAATCACATTACACTCCATGAATAAAAGCAGAGTCTTAATGCAACAGCTACTTAATGATTTCGTTTTCCATGCACTAGGCAGCGTGGCCTCATTTGCAAAGGTGCTGAGCACCCCGAGCTCCACTCCCGGTCACGGGAACTGCGGGCACCCCGCACCTCAGGACTCTTCCCCGAGCTCCTTATTTGCTCAGGGCGGTGCTGAACGTACCACCCACCCTTCCTTGGCTTTTCGGGCACCCCGTGGTGTTTAGAACAACTCTTCTTCCTGCCCTACCTGCTAACAAGGACCGGACGGAGGCACCTGAAGCGGGGACGCAGTCCCACAGGGCTGGGGCTGTCCTCCCCCGGAGGAGAAAAGGACCTGCAGAAAATTCTGATGTCTGCTGGGGAAATACAATGTGGGATAACCTCTCCAAAACAAAGCCAGTCCTTCAGCAAACAAGAAGTCAAACGCAAACTATTTATTGCCTATTTATTTGTGTTTAGACCGCTTCTCTTTTTCCTTTTCTGGGACAATTTGTTTTACTGTTTGCTGCTGCTTTTTAAAACCAGTGGAGCTTTTGTGTTTTTGTTTTTTCTTCTGCCTTTTTTTTTTTTTTTCTCAGAATGCTGATGCTAGCAGTGCAAGTAAGCACAGGACCTCCTCAAGGGAAAAAATCTGTAACCTCGTTTCATGAAGAACCCTGCGGCGTGATGCCAGCGAGACAAGCACCCTGTGAGACCGAGCTGCAGGTACACCCCGAGCAACCTGCCACTACCCAAACTTCAGCACATTTAATGGCATATAAACTTAGAAACTCAGGTCAAAAATGATTGAAGCAGTTCCAGAATATGCTTCAGGACAGCTGCAATATACTGCAGAGGCATAAAATAAGCTAGCCAGAGCTCCTAGTGAAAGCGAAGACACGTGTGTGCGTGCGGGCTTGAGACACAGCAAGCTGGGTGCTGATTCAGGTCTGCGTTCCTGCAGGAATTTTCCATTCAGGAGTAATTCAGACTCTAATTCCAGCTTGGGTTAAACATTTCCCTAACCACTGCTGACACAGTTTTCCCTTCACACACCACTATTCACAGCGGCCTCGCAGTGCTCGCGGCGCTCGCTCAGCTTTTCCCACCAGCAAAGCACCCGCACGGCCAGCGGGAGGATTTGGGACTAAGCAAGAGGCTGAAATGAGCTGGCACCCGGTTATGAGGATGACCTTCTCCCATCAGGACCCCGATGACAGTGGCTACCATCAGAGCTGGGAGATTTCTGCCCACAGAGCCCCTGCTTGGACACCAGGACTTTTCTGCAGCATCCTGAGCCTGGCACCACGCGCCCTGCCTTCCTCTGAGCACTTTATTCACGCTTCCTACTACGGCAAAAGGCATCGCTAATGTTTTCCTCTCTGTCACCATCCTGGCTTTAGATGCTCAATTAAAAAAGCAGCTCAAAAAGCAGCTGCAAGCACCGGTGCCTCCTGCCTTGTCCAGGGGGTGTTGCCGCAGCAGACAGAGATTGCGAGCAGAGGCCGCGCGGCAATGAGTCAGGGAGGCAGAAAGGCGTGAAAACAAAATGAATGGAAAGGCAATAAACCCGAAATATTTCACCATCGGCACTGAGCTCCTGGATGGCCTCCATCTATCAGCGTTACCAGTGTCCGGGAGCTCCCCAGAGCTGAAGTTACCGTGTGGTTGGTACGGCCACGTGCACGGGCTGGGGCCACCACGGCAAGGGCGAGGGACATCCACCTTGCTCGACACCTCCCCAGCAGCCTCCTTGGCTTTTGCTGCAGTTGCTCAAGCTGTTTCGGGCTTTCCCCGTGAAGAAGAGGAACAAATTGGTGGGGCAGCAAGATGCCCTTGTCCAGGGACGTGTCTGGATCTGGGAAGGGATCGCTGCCCCGACCCAGGACCCTGCTGGTGAAGGATGTGGCTGGGGGAGAAGAGGCACACACATGTCCCAGGTCTAACTCCAGAAGGAACTCCAGAAGGAAATGGGGCGTGCTACAAAACCTCAAGGAACAGAAACCTGAAAAAAATTGTTTAAAAAGGAAAAATGGTCCCCTGTGAAAAGCTGGAGAACAATTCAAAGAGCTGAACTAGAACAGGGAGGCCCTCACCCTGTTGGCAAGCACAAAACCCACCTTGATCCGCTTTCCAGAACCCCTTATTTTCCACTCCTGCATGGAGCAGGATCCCTCCCCCATCGGCACCAGCCCGGGAGGCTGCCAAACCCCTGCCCTGCCTCTGAAAGCATCCAACTCCCCCCAGCACCGCAGAACGCCGCGTGGCCGGCGAGGAGGAGGCTTTTTAAAGAGATACAAAACCTAGGATTTTTGTATTGAAACACACGCCACAGATGGTGTAGCAGACGAGGATTAATTCATGAATCATATTTCTTAAATGATACAATCTCTCTTTTCACTTCCATACTTTCCCTTTTTGACTCAGAAGCAGGGATTTGAGATGCCCTTCCCAGATATGAATTTTGCATGAACAAACAGTGCAGAGAAAAAAAAAAAAAAAGCAGCAATAAAACAGAAAGCCCAGATGTTTAAAGCTCAGTTTTCTGATGTAAGCAAATGCATATCCTGTCCATCTCTGAAAGAACATGTGTGGAAACGCAATATATGCAGGCACAGATCTGGGACTAGGGTGGGAAAACACGTTCCTTAACATTTGGAGCTTACTAATGCTTCAGCCAGGGTTCTGAATCGCACAGAAACTCATTTTGTATCTCGCATTCATCGCCCCAGCAGCGAAGGAAAAGCCTGAAGTCACTTCACACCCCGGTTTCTGCCACGAGACAACCTCATTCAGCCACACGGGCTGGTCCTGCTCCAGCCCTGTGGAGCCCTGGCACGAGACCTTTGGGTTGCTCCAGGAAAAACTATCGGAGCCCTGGCACCCACGAGGACTGCGGGAAGCCACAGCAAACCCAGATGTCCTGCGCCATGCACCCGGAGCATCCGCAGCGCTCCCACAGCCTCCTATTGCCGGCAGTGGCAACACGACAAGGAACAACCGAACCGTGCTGCAGCAAGGGGAGACCCCAAGACCCCAACCTCCCAGCTCGTCCTTATCCCGGGAGCAGCCAGACTGGCTGGGGACATGCAAAACCCACGACCCTGCGCCGTGCTTCCACCTGGCACCGGCACAGATCAAAATAGGACGGGGAGAAACGCCCCAAATGCCCCAAACTCCCAGCTCGCCACTGTGCTGGCCACCTTCTCACCTGCAAAAGGTGCTGCTATACCTTGCTTTCATCACCAGTTCAGTTTTTCAGTCTTTTTTTTTTTCCCTTTGCACACAGAGCAGCTCTGTACATGCTTAACAGCTTTTTTTATGCAGCCTCGCGCTTCCTGTTACAGCTTTACCCTGAACACAAAGCTTCAAGTTAGAATAAGGGTGAAAAATTACTTACCCTTAAATTACTTCAATCTTTCTCTGCTTTGTGTATGATCTGGGCTTCTCTTTTGGTTACTATTTCCAGATTTGGTCTTTGGGTAGGTGAATGGAAGAGGAGAATGAAAGGAGTTGTATTTGATGACGATGGAGACTGTAAAATAAAGAGAAGCACTTTAGTGCAGAACAGGCCTCTCTATACATACCTATCAGGTTAAATTAAATTAAATTAGTGACACCTACATAAACGCTTCCTACTGTTTTTATGCACACATACAAACATCACAACTGTCAAGGAGAAGGCAGCAGTCAGGGAAATGATAGGGGGGTTAAAAAGAGAGCAATTTCTAAAACAGAAGAAAAACAACCCGGCGAGAGCACCAGCACTCGCGGCGCAGCGAAGGGGCTGCCCGTGAGCCCAAGCCCTACAAACCAGGTTCTTCCCCCACCTGGCGTTGGCAGTGACTTGCTGCTGTGCCCCCACCACGTGCAGCCCTAAAAACACCGCGTGGAGCCGCTGGGGAAGGGGCTGCCACCATGCCAGGGTGGGATTTTTGCCCCACTCCTGCTTCCACCTTGTCCCCACCGTGACTGCGCTCCCGGAGGCTGCCCGCTTATCGGCTGCCCCCAGCCTCACTGCCCATTTAACACCGGCCTCTGAGGTCTGCAAAGTACCATTTTGTTTTTAAGGAACCGAGAAAGGAACACGGAGGACAGGAACCAGCTTCTGCGTTGTTATTTTTCTCCCAACAGGTCTCCAACCTGCTGGGCACAGCCAGCACCGCCGGCATGGGGAGCCCCAGCCTCAACGCTGCAAGCACCCAAGGAGGAGCATTTCCCAAATGATTTAGAAGATGCTACACGTGCTAAGGGGTACAAAAATGACTCAAGGGCTACCCTGATTTGGTTTGAAAAGCACAAAGGTCACGGCAAGTAGCAGGCAGCAACACACGCTGCCACTGCAGAAGCACCAACGCCGCAGCACCGACGCCTTGCGCACGCAGCACGGTGTTTAACGCTTGCCCAGCAGCCTCTGAGAAATCCTACGTGTTTTAACAAAGCCTGGAAGCTTTTCCTTCCTGCTCAGCAGAACGGGGAAGGTAACGCACAAGTGAATAAAACTGCTCGAGACACCAAGCAGCAGGGCAGAAACAAAAGCCAGGTCTTCCAAGCCGGTGCCTCCGCCGCCGAACCCCGCGCCACGCCGCTGCCATTAACGTTCATTTTAGCCCTCCAAAACCTGTCTTTAAATACTTTAAAAAATCCGCCGGGAGGGAGGATGCTCCAAGTCACGGCAAACATTTGTTCTAGGGCAAAACACGCTGCAAATGATCCTTAACAAATTTTACCCGTTGGTGCAGGCAGATAAGAGCACGGTGCCGTAGATCACAGCCGGCTCTTATTGCAGGCTCCGTGCTGCTGAGCATGTAGCTGAGTGGCAATGCAGAGAGATCCGTGTTTTGTGTTTTGGTATAAATTATAGGGCAGCCTAACAGAACTAAGAGGCAGCTCTGCTCCTTCCTGCATCGCTTCTTTCACATTTTTATGCCCATTAAGTTTCTTCCCGTTTAGTCGCCTTGTTTTGGTTCCTTGCTGCATAAAATTGTGCCGCGCTCACAACGCGACGAAGCCGAATAAATAATCACAAACTTCCATGCAAGAACTCCGAGAGCTGCTATGTAAAGAAGAGAGGGTATCAGCAGATAGAGACAACTCGGAGGCAACCTGAGGTTTGGTATTCTGTGTCAGCCTGACACACAGGGGAAATAACCCTTTAATCCAGTGCAGTGTATTTCATTTACTGTAGTGTTATCCAGTTCGAAGATGTTATGAAAGGAATCCCCAGAGAGACTTAAGACTTCAAAACCAGCCCGAGTTTGAACTTAATTCCACCATTGCAAAAGGCTGCAGCCGTGGAAGATGACCTTTTCTGTACCTTGCATGCCAGGAGCCATTCTGCCTCATAATGTCACGCCAAATTAGAATATTCTCTTTCTGTTTTATTCGGGATTTTGTTTTGCCTTTTCTTTTTAATTAAAAGCATCTGTCACTATTAATGAAACAGCTAAAAAAAAAAAAAAGAAAAAAGAGTCAATAGCACAAACAGATTAAAGACCAGGAGAGATGGGGGAGCCCGAAAGCCCCTGGGTGCTGGGGCTGCGATAATGACCCCGGCACAGAGCGGTGGCACCGGGGTGCTCGGTGTCCCTCCTGGCAAGGAGAGGAGAAAAAGACATTTAAATGCAGGTCTCAACACCGCTCGGGTCCTACCTGGAGTGGAAGTGGAGATGTATTTACAGAGAGGCCACAAACCCACGGTAGAGGGAAGGAAAGCGGGACGGAAAGCCCACAGGCTGTGGGGCGCTCGCCAAAAAGCACTGGGAACCCCAAACCAGGTCTTTCTCTAGCAGTAGCCTCATCCATACACCCAGACATCCTGATGTGAATGGTGAGAGCCTGGGTTTCGCTCCCCCCAGCTCCAAATTCAGATTTCGGGTGTAACTCAATAAAAACGCGCGTTTTTCAAACACCGCTGCTCTGGTACAAAACACGGCATTTATTACCAGAAGTCTTCCTAATATGAAATTATTTCACCTGCTAGACGCAGTACAAATAGCTTTATTGTATCATTAATAATTAGGAGCGTTCAGTCAGCACAGCTGAAAAAAAAAAAAAGTAAACTAGATATGTCAAGGATGCGCTGCTTTCTCTGCTTACCATTTTTTTAATGCCTTATTTCATGGTAGATAAGTGAAAAATCTTTTTACCTGACTTAGCGAGAGGCTCATTTCCTCATGCAAATTTAAACCCGGGTGTCATAATACAAGGAAACTATAAAAACATATCAGAAAGAAGTTAGCGAGCCGCCAAATTTAGCTGCTAACGGAGTTCAAGCTGTCTTGTACAGCTGGATGCTAACGGGAAGAGCATCCCGGCCCCGCTGCGTGTGGGGAGGACACTGGGGAGGTTCGCAGCACCCCACAGCTTCAGCAAGGTCCCGTTCTGAGCCCAGCCAACGTTACGAAGGCTCCGACCAAGAAGGAATGGCCGGGGAAGCAGCGATTCCCCCCGCGTGCTGACCCGGTGGAGGAAGGTGGAAATAAGGCACTGTAACGAGGAGAGGCACGGAAACTAATGGAAAAACATCAAATTCCATTAAGGGCCGCGTTAAAGGTTTGCAGCAGTCTCCAGACAAGCCCGCTGATACTCCCGAACCTTTATCGATCCACAGGTCGAGCCAGAAACAACAATAACTATTTTAGAAAATATCGCTTGCGATTTTTTGTGCTTCTACAAAAAAAAAGGCATCCCTACGCACAGGTGAGCACGAGACCATTCCCCACGCCGCGCCACAGCTCCGCATCGCTGCCCTGTCCATGTCCTGCAAAGCACCCGGACCCGTACCAGGGGGCAGGGAGGCATCCTGGATAAAAGCTGCAAGAAATTTGGGGTATTTTGCACCTGGCTTGGGGGCATGTGACCCGGCACTCACTGCATTTTGCTCCCTTCGATTGCCACCGCTCTCGATTTTATTTTTATCCTGAGTTAGCTCTGAATCAGGGATTGCAAAAGACAAAACAACACACTGCAATCATCCAGCGTGCCAATTAAGCTAAAAGATACCCTGGAAATCAAAATTAAATGCCATATCTATGAAAAGAAGCAGACAGCTTCCTCGGAAACAAAAAAAAATCATATTATAGGAAGGGATTTGTGGCAGCCCAAAAACGTATCTGAAGCAGTCCTATAACTTCCTATCACCCCTCCCATCTGCATACTGTAGATCTTCATCAAATTGTGTATGTTTTTGCACATTTATCATCAAGATTTATTGAAGTTGATTCCATAAATTTCATTTAGTTGTTCACTGCTGCTATTTGTTTCCAAGGCAACAAATGCACTTTGCCCAAGCCGCGCAGTAAATCACGGCTGGTCGGGATTTGGGGGTCCCTGCCCCTCGTGCTGAGCGGCCGCGCGTCCCAGCGCACACAAACCGGCACCCCGGTCATTAGAGGCAGATTTGGTGAGCGTTTAGGGGAAATAATCCGAATCTGTGCGACGGGGGAAGAAGGCAAAGCTCGGCCCCGAGGCAGCGGCTGTCCCCAGGAGGAGGGCTGCCGGGGCTGCCAGGGAAAGGCTTGGAGCCCAGCCCCGCTCCCGTCTCATTTACACCTCGGGTGGCGGGGGGCTGAGAAACCCATTTGCGGGTTCACGAGGAGTCGGAGGCTATTTCTGCGATGAAGAAGAAGAAAAAAACCACCCTCATATTCTCACTGCAGACGTTGCCAAAGGGACAGACTAACGAGGAGAAGGGAAGAGCTGGGAATCTACGAGCGTTGCCCACCGCGCACAGCAGCGCGGGCTCAGCACGGAGCAGGCACCCGGGACGCCTGCAATCCTTTCCCTTATCCTTTCAAAAATCACTACGGAACTCCGCTGGACAGCCAATTCCCAAGGGTCCGTACGTTATTCCCAAACAAAGACAACCCCGAGGAGAGGAGCTGCTGGTTTGGGCAGCGAGAGGATGGTTCGCTCTGCGGCACAGCCCCTGCTGAAGATGCTTGCTGGAGCATCAGGGCTGCAGCAAGCCCAGCACGCTGCCTCCAGCAGGATGCTGGAAACACGAAAATAACCTCGTGGTGCTCCCCGTCAGCTGAACAACACGGGACGAGGATCAGACTCAACTGAGCGACCTCAATCAACTCTATGAGCATGGTTATATTGGGCAGCTGGATCCCCACGCGTGGCATCAGCCATCACGGGCAGGGATGCGACCCCGGTTTAAAAGAGATGCTGAGCACAATCCAATTTCTGCAATAAATGAATACTGTGATTTCTGTAATAAACAAAACCCAGCCTGCAAACGGCATCACCCCACAAGAGGCAGAGGTAGCACGGCAGCTGCTCATCGGGACACCCAAGTGACCACGTGTTAACCACTGCGAGGGGCGCCCCGGTGGCTCAGGCTGGAAATCTCGCCCCTTCACGCACAGCTGTGGCTTCTGCTGGTTATCGATGAGCAGGAAAAATTGCACGTTAGGTTTCTTGTTTTATACGACCATCAGTGCAAGGCAATGCAGAGACCACAGTCCAGGCATCAGACGCACACGGCCCTGCACTGCTGGGGAATATCCCACCAAAAACATCAAATCC